CACCCAAGGGGCATTAACGAGTCGAATTTCTTCGGGCCATGTTTAGGGGCCCTCTTGTGGCTCTCTTGTTGCTTCTTGGAGGCATCGTGGACCGTCTTGAAGGCGTGACAATGCGGGAGTTGCACGATCCTCGAGCGGGTCGCGTGGGATGAGAGGTCTAGAAGGTAGCAGCCATGCGGGAAGTGCGCACGCCGCGATCGGGAGCGCATGGCATGAGGGTTGATGCAGTAGTTGCCATGCGGGAAGTGTTCAATCCTCGAGAGGGCAGGCGCGGAACGGGGCTTTAGGCATTAGTTGCCGTGCTAGCAGTGTACACCGCACTCACATCTATACCCCTGGGTGGGTGTATGTGCGGCCGTTTTTGCGCTGTCATGTGCGCGCATGTGCGCGGCATGTGCCAGTCATGTGCCAGGCCTGTGCGGTCCTTCTTGGATGGACTTCCTACTGTGCACGTCGTGCCCGGGCATGTGCGGGGGCATGTGCGCTGTGTTTTGATGTATCCATCATACGCACATGCACGCACAGTCCGACGCACATGCGCACATGCCTGCACATGCGGGAGGTGTTCGAGAATCGCAGATCTGTCATCGGCACATGCACGCACATGCCTGTGCAACCTCTCTTCGGGAGGCCGCGCGGGCCCGCACATGCACGCACATGCGGTGAAGCGCGCGGGCGCACATGCGTGCACATCCCAATGCACATGCACGCTCATGCCCTAGGAGCTGTCTGGGACCCCTGTGCCTCCAATGCTTCCTGGCCTTCGCAGAGCTAACCTGGGGCGCGCCAGGGCTTCCTGAAAGAGTTTGTTGTGCGTTTAGACTCGCCCGCTGCTGGCGGGGGCGGTTCTTCGCCCGGTTCGTGAGCTGGCGGTGGCGCGCCCGCCTAATAAAATACTCTCCCGCGCGCCTTCTCAGCTCGGCCGGAGAAACAGGGACGGGGGGGGGGAGGTGGAAGGGGGGGGAGGAGGGGGGGGCGGAGGAGGCGGGCGCCCCCGGCTCGGCCGGCCCGCCTGCCTGTTCGGCTCGGCCAGAGGAGAAGGAGGAGGAGGAGGAGGAGGAGGAGGAGGAGGAGGAGGAAGAGGAGGAGGGAGGAGGAGGAGGAGGAGGTGAGAGTTGCGAGGATGTCTCAGGCGAAAGTGGCTTGACGGCCCGAGCTCAGGGAATCTCGGAATCGCTGGCCTGGCTCGGCCACCGGCGAGCTCGGCCTGTGCGAATACTGTGCGTACCTGTGCAGTGCATGTGCGGGACGTGCAAGAATGCCGGGGCCGGCGTTCGTCTCCGGACGCCGGCGCGTTCGCGTCCGGCCAGTTCCGCGTGAGACGTCGTCGGCAATCTGGAGGCCGACGTGCTTTGACATGAAGTGATCTGGCCACCTTCGCCTGAGACATCCTCGCAACTCTGGTCTCGGAGATGCCCTGCCCCATGGTGGCCCGGCCACTTTCGCTTGAGACATCCTCGGGACTCTGAGTTTCGAGACGCCCTGAGCTGAGGTGGTTAGACCACTTTCGCCTGAGACATCCTCGCAACTCTGACCTCAGAGATCTCCTGCCCCATGCTGGTCAGGCCACGGTCGCCTGAGACATCCTCGCAAGTCTCGATTCCGATATGCCCCGAGCTGAGGTGGTCAGCCACTGTCGCCTGAGACATCCTCGCAACCCTGATCTCAATGATGCCCTGCTCGATAGTGTCTCGGCCCCTTTCGCCTGAGACATCCTCGGAACTCTGGGTTCCGAGACGCCCTGAGCTGAGGTGGTTAGACCACTTTCGCTTTAGACATCCTCGCCCGAGATGCCCTGAGTTGAGCTGTTCAGGCCACTTTTGCCTGAGACATCCTCGCAACTCTGACCTCAATGATGCCCTGCTCCATAGTGTCTCGGCCTTTTTCGCCTGAGACCCTCGCAACTCTGGGTTCTGAGATGCCCTGAGCAGGTGGTCAGGCCAGTCCTGCCTGAGACATCCTCGCAACTCTGGGCTCCGAGATGCCCTGGGCTGAGGTGGTCAGACCACTCTCCCCAGAGACATCCTCGCAACTCTGACCTCAGAGATCTCTTGCCCCATGGTGGTCAGGCCACTTTCGCTTGAGACATCCTCACAACTCAGACCTCGGAGGTGTCCTGCCCCATGGTCGTCTGGTCACCTTGACCAGCGACATCCTCGCCACTCTGGTTTCCAAGATGCCCTGCCCCATGGTGATCCGGCCACGCTTGCCTGAGACATCCTCGGAACTCTGGGTTGCGAAATGCCCCGAGCTCAGGTGGTCAGGCCACTATCGCCTGCGACATCTCTGCGGCATGTGCGGGCATGTGCGTCTATGCTTTCAGAGTTTTGCTTGACCGTGCATTCGACTGTGCGTCGGACGGTGTGGCATGTGCGCGCATGTGCGGCAATGCTGTTGAGGCTTTTGTATATTTGCATGGGCATGTGCATGCGACTGTGCGGCATGTGCCTGCATGTGCGGCCCCTTCCGGACCACAATTTCAAAGTGAGCACTATAGAAG